CCTCCTCGCCCCAGAACTGGGTACCATCTGAAACCGCGCTCAGGTGCGTAGCACTGCGGGCGCTTGCCCCGAACCACGCATCCTGGTGGGGTCAGGCAAAACGTTGCCTATAGGAACAGAGAGCAAAACATACCACATGCCTGAGGCAGGTCCACCAGAGACAGCCCGTCAACGTGACTCACCAAAGAAGGCCAGCAGAAGTGGAGGGGCTGAGCCCAAGCCCAGAAGCGTTGGCGAGCAGTGGGCCCCAACCAGGGACACACAGAGCTCTGCGTCCTCATTTCAAGGCAGCTCATGTGGAACCTGTGCTGTCCTTGACCAAATCATCCTGAGAGCAAACCCAGCTCTGATGCCAACCAGGCAATGGGGCGGGCCTCCAGGCCCATCTCGATGCCCCCCCCAATAAATGTTCCCATCCAGGGTGGCTGTGAGGGTAATGCGGACCACTGCACACAGCAAGGAGCCACCAAGAAGCCTTCCCTAGGGCCCCCCACACCCCAGGCTCCAGGGTGGGCACGGCTGTGCATCCATGCCCCATGGGCCCTCATCACACGGCAGGTCTTCCAGCAGCCAAAGCGAGTTCTGACCCGTGGCAGGGTTCCAGCCAACCCTTCTAGGGCCAAGGGCTCTCCCACTGATCACACGCTCTAAAGCTTTCTCCCAGCCTCTAGAGATGAGAGGGAATCAACTCCCTGCCAAGGCCCGGGTGTCACTTGGGAAGAATGAAGGTGGGGCAGAGGGCTTGTGCCAAAACCCACAGCTCAGCATTGGTGGGCTCTCCTCACTCAGCGGGCCCGTTCCCAGGGAAGCCACTGAGCAGAGCTCACTAGGCCACGGGGAAGGCCACAGGCCAGGTGGCCCAGAGCCTTCATTCCCCATCAGAGCTGCTCAGCCACCTGCCTCCTGCCGGCCCAGAGCTCAGCTACCAGCACAGTGCGGGCCGGTTTGAAGCAGCCAGGCTCAGAGGCCCGGTCACCAGGGGCTCCGGTCAGAGGCAGAAATGCAGCTCTCTGTGCTGAGTGGACCCAGAGCTGGCACCACATGGCCTGTTTTCATGCCAGGTCCATCTCCAGCCCACTCACACGAGGAGAGATGAGGAACCCATTAATCCCCCTGGGACCCCCCCCCCC